GAATGGCCAAAATGGTCTTTGATTTGGTACCTAGATGCATTGAAATGTATTTACGGTATAGTTTGGTTTTTTTGGTCTGAAATATGGCTAAATTTATAATTATTTACTTGGTAAGGCTTGGGTTATTGTTTAAAATGCTCTGTTAACTGATAAACTATTATGGTTATTTCTTTAGCATGAATGTGTTTTCATGCTTTCTTATCACTGTTCTGTTTTAGCTGGTTGGTGGAGTAAAGCAACATACTTTTTGAGGCGGCAATTGATCTTTTTTACTGGAAGGAGTAAGACAATAGGAGAATGAGTTATGGTTTCAACTTTTATAGTCCATACGTGCTAATTTAGAATTGAGTAACTGTGTTGCATTTGATTTATCTTTTTTTATCACTGGTTTATGATATAGTCGCAATGTGTATGAAAAATGGGTTCCTTCACAGTTGGTCTTTTTGTATTGAAATTGATTGATTTGGTTGAAGCTAGCACCCCTACCTTTTGTCACCATGTTAAGATATTCTAACTGTTTCTATCGGTATATGTTGGCCATCGTTGGATATTTTTTTCATATTCCGCTGGCTGAATTTCACTTTTTGTTGTTATTCTGAGTCAAATTAATTACCGTCACAAAGTGGTCTTACAAACTGTGACGAAAATTTATGTTGTGATTCTTTTTAATATTTTCTTGTTCATGTGCAGGCGCTTTATTTCTGTGTTCCATTTCGTGAGCAGCTGCTGGAATATTATTCCAATAATAAAACTCCTGCCGATGCAGAAGAAAATCTCTTAACATGCCTAGCAGACTTGTTTTTGCAGGTACCATCTCTTTTGTGTTCGGAAGAATATATTTTCAGACGGATTAAATTTTTTTATGTACATGAACTGTACCTGTAGATGTATCTTGTTGTATATATATATATATATACTGTCACTTAGGAGCTTAGCATTGGTATGGGATGACAAGGTTCAGTTGTTGATCTGAGTTGCCTAAACTTATATGTTTGACTAAGTAATTGATTGGCTATATAAATATATGGAGCACCTACTGTTCGTTTCTTAAATTGGCCAATAAATAAAATGATTACCCAAACTTTGGATGATATTCAATATTATCTGGGCTATGTAGCATGTTATGTAACCTATAAAATTGGGGGATAGTATGTGAAGGCTCGTTTGGTAACCTTGTGGTGCTGGAAATATCTCTGTAGATGTGGTAACCTTGTGGTGCTGGAAATAAATCAGGTTGGAGTTAAAATCTTACTTATTTTCTTTGCCTACACTATTTGTTTTGCAGCAATATGTTTGTATTCATGAGTCTATGCATGCAGTAGTGCTTAATGAAGTAATATGCTGCCATCTTAATCATTAGTGAGATATGTTGGACGAAACATTCCTGTTGTGACTCATTTATGACAACTTTTCTTATTATCCGCGGTTGAGTTTTTGCTTGTAGATAAGCTCACAAAAGAAAAAAACTGGTGTAATTGCTCCAAAGCGCTTCGTACAGCGGCTGAAGAAGCAAAATGAAATCTTTCGCAGTTACATGCACCAGGTAAGGAAATAAATGTGTTTTCATTTCTAAAGTTTTCAGTCATAATTAATTAGAAAATAGATATAGATTAATTAGATGTAGACCCTCGCAGCAGTTGTTCGATGTAGTGGAAATGCAGAGGAGCACCTTATGTTTACATTTGCTTCATCTCGTCTTACTTTTGTTTATTTATGACAAACTCCGTTTCTAGAAATTCTTCTTCAATTCAGATATTATGCTAATGTGGTAAATATCGTGTATGTAGGATGCCCATGAATTCCTAAACTATTTGCTTAATGAATTGGTTGACATACTCGAGAAAGAGGCTCGAGCTACTAAGAGTGATCAAGAAGCTCCCCATAAGATTGCAAACGGGCCGACTAATATATCTTCCAACAGTCCTCAAAAGGAACCCGTGATCACCTGGGTGCACAAGAATTTTCAGGTAAGCTGTCCTTTGCCATTCTGGCAAGTGTAACACTGTCGAGCATGCTTGAATACAATTTTTAAAAAAAAAATCCAATCATTTTTAACCAATNTGCTCGTATTTTGACCTACATAGAATGAAAGAAGAGAATTCTTGGATACAAATTTTTCGTTCATGCTTATCCAATCACTTTTTTTTTAACTCTACTTTAACTCAACTCCACTATCCTCAACATTATCAATATAATTAAATAATACCAATCAATCATTCTTACACATTACATCAACTTTAATTCATTATTCATCTACTCACATAATTTTAACTAACCATCACTTCACAACATCTCTCTCCTACTTTTACATCAACTCAATTTTATTTATTTTATTTTAAATATTGTTTTGATAGAAATTCAAAATCTCACTAACAATTAACCATATCACATTTTTCAATTAACCAAACAAAACCAAAAAATCCAAACAAAACAGAAAAATCTTATATCCAAGCATCAGTGTGTGAACCCAGTGCCTTAAAATCCTTTGGATTTATTACTTCTTTTTTTTCACTTTTTTTCTTATCATTAAAAAAAATATCATTGTTTCATCTGTAGCTCTCCCCTTTGTGCTGGTGATGAGATTACTTGTCTCACCTTTTTTTCTTTTTCGTCATAGTTGGTTTGACACAAATCACTTGTTTGACTGCCTTATGTATGTAGTCTCCGTGTTCTCATGAATGATTAATAGTTTATCATTTTTCAGGGTATATTGACAAACGAAACAAGGTGCTTATGTTGCGAGACAGTTACTGCAAGGGATGAAACATTTCTCGACTTAAGCCTTGATATAGAACAGAACAGTTCAATCACAAGCTGCCTGAAAAATTTCAGCTCCACCGAAACTTTAAATGCTGAAGACAAATTCTTTTGCGACAAATGCTGCAGGTTTTGTCGAATTTTCCTTTTACTAAATCCTTTTTACACTTTCTCAAGTGATTTGATGCTATGAATTTACTTACAGCTTACAAGAAGCTCAAAAGAGAATGAAAATCAAAAGGCCTCCCCAAATCTTGGTCATCCATCTGAAGAGGTTCAAGTACATCGAGCAATTGGGTCGGTACAAAAAGCTGTCTTACCGAGTCGTTTTCCCAATCGAGCTAAAGCTCAGCAACACAGTTGAAGATGCAGATGCCGAATATTCTTTATTTGCAGTGGTGGTTCATGTCGGAAGTGGGCCCAACCACGGGCACTATGTTAGTCTTGTGAAGAGCCACAATCACTGGCTGTTCTTTGACGATGAGAATGTGGAGATGATAGATGAGTCGGCAGTCCAGACATTTTTTGGGTCGGCCCAAGAATACTCGAGCAATACGGATCATGGGTACATCCTGTTTTACGAGAGGCTCGTGTGATATATTTCTCAAAAAATGCGCACGAGCCTTTGGTTTCCAATTTTGACTGTATTGCGTTATTTTTTTTTCTTTTTTGGTTAAAAAAAATGGTTTTTCTTGATTTTCGCCTTTTTTTTTTTT